ACCAATTAGGGTTCTAATCGAATTCACATTTATCCAACACGATTGCGCAATTTCAATTGTGCCATCTCTCGGGTTGCGATTCCCTATTGAGCCAGATTTAAAGTTACCATTGTTCATGTGATTGTTAGTTCCATGTCATGTTTTTTGTACACTTTCTTATTCAAACACTCACACCCAAGCCATGAAAGGGAAACAACCAAATCATTTAATATACGTTTTTCAGCTTTTTTTACTATTTGAAGAAAAACTGGCTTTCTGACAATTTCTTTGTGATTTTCCATTTCGAAGGAAATGTTAGTTGGAAGGAATGCTTGACGTGGTCGCACCGGAAACCGAAGAAGTCTTGCCGCGCAAGGAAGACTGTTGAATTGTGAGAAGAAGTCTTTGGCCCACTGTCCTGTGAACTTGATGAAATTGTGCTAAGCTTTTGTCTTTTTTCACGACAGACATTGACAATTCACCTCAACAGTATTTTCAATGCGGCGAACCTCTTTCGTCTTTGGGTGAGGCCACATCACGAATTCCTTCCAATCAACTTTTCCTTCGAAATGGAAAGTCAAGCCCGATGTTTTATTCTTTGTAGGCCCTGTTTATCTTGTTGATTTGGTGTTACCTTTGAGAATGTATCCAAGGCTCAGCCCATTTTCATCACAACCAAATTTAGCCAACTTTAACGTCATAATAAGTCCAAACGACGGCATAGCAACAAAAATCTACCGTTGTCTTTTGATTAGCTCGACCTACAACTATCTTCGTCAAAAAGTCTCTCATAAAAGAGTAGCATTTTGTGTTAGAATGACATGTTTGCTATGCCTTTGAGCGGCATCTGGTTGAGTTGAGGATGAAAATCACACTCTGTAACTCATGGCATACGTACTTAAGGGTCCCAATTGGGATGGAATTCTTTGGGGTTCCATCAGCACATGAAGAATATTAGTTTGTTTGTCTGAATTGAGCGAGTAAAGTGAGTTTTTATGGAAAGTGAACTTTGAGAAACGACTAATAATTTCGTAATTTGTCATTTCAGCTCAGAAACCTTCTCTCCGACTCACTCCCACTTTGTCCACCTGGGCCTGTTTCTGCCAGGCAGCCTGTCTGCTCATGGCCCAAAGCCTGTCTTTCGAGGCTCCGATTGGCTCCGACGACCGCCGTCAGGAGCAGGAGACAGCCACGAGCCAATCAGCGGCTCCGCCCAAGTTCGAGTCCCACGAGCCCGGCGCGTGGCTGCGCCGAGGCGCGGAGGTGACGAGTGTGCCAGAGCTGGGCTTGCCGGAGTGCTCGGGCTGCGAGACCGGCTGGTGCGCCTGCTTGGCCGT